TGAACCAGGAAGAGAGAGGGCTGGGGCCGGTTAAAAAAAGAGTAAGAACTGGAAAAGAAGACTTTTGTTGTTCAGTCACTCAGTCGTGTCCAATTCTTTGTGACCCCATGGACTGCAGCAAGCCAGGCTTCCCTGTCCTTCACCATCTCCCAGAGTTTGCTTCAAAGAAGACTTTATCATTTCAATAAACATGGCAGTTCATATAGCTGAGCTCTCAGTGCAAATCCTATAGGAGGAGGAAGAGTGTGGGAGAGTGGTAAATACAAGCAAATCTGATCCTCTGCACCTAATCCAAATATTTTTCAACATCTCTTTGTTAGTTATCTCCTTAGAGCACAGTTAGTTGCTAAACTCACCCTTCTAATCCCACAGCACTAGGAAACACATTAATCCTTATTTTAGTCATTTTGCCTTCTAAGTCATCTGACAACAGTTCTACCAAATGTTTTGTTGCAACATGACAAAGGTTGCCAACTTTCTAGTCTGTAGTAACTGTTGCCTTGCCACTCTTCCTCTCTGAGAGGTAGAAAAATGGGATTGGATGGGGACAAAAAGTGTTTTTCATTAATATAAGAAGAGAATCATTGCACAGCCTAATGATGATATAATGCCATAGATTTTAAAGTGTGATTAATTCAACGCTTTAAATCTGAAATCCAAATTTAAAAAATAATTTTTTAAATTTCAAAGGGGTAATATACAATATACAGATGTTTTAAGAAGAAGAACAATATGCATATTAAACATATTTCAGCTACAGGGAGAAGGGAATAAAAAAAACAATGAAGTTTGAGTATGAATATAAAACAAGAGGGGGGACCATGCACGAACAAATAATCATGAATTTAGTAGTATGATTAACTCAAACCATAGCACTAGAGGCCCAGAAAGTAAAACCATACTGTAGATAAGAGGGAGAAAGTTATTAGTCAGCACCTCTGCCATGAGGTTTGTGGGAATTAGATATATGTTACTTAGGTGAGAAACTCAGCAATTCCAAGTGCTCAAGGCCTGTTATATAAACTCATCTATTCAAAATTTTGGCTGATACTATTCAGCAGTGGTTAGAAACTTTTGCTGAATGGATGGGGGTTCTTAGGATAGTTGAGAGGCAAAGCATTTTTGTCCTTAGAGAAACATGAGTCTCACTTCCATTATTCTTCTTGGGCCCTGGGGCTTCCAGCAAATTAACAGAAGTGTTTGCGACTTCCAATACATTTATAATCATTTCAGAATAAAAGAATTTTTAAGTTACTTTCTTAAAAAAAAAAAAAAGCATTGTATTTAAAATGGCAGATTATCCTCCAAAAAGTTGGTGGCTATTACTTTCTGCCCTCACCTCAAGTATAAGAGATTTCTATACCAGACTGACACCTAGACTGGGTACCTCCATTCCTTTGAACTTAGGCCAATCTGATAAATGCAGAAGGCAACTTTTCTTGTTTCTACCTCTTTGATTATTGGCAAGGGAGAACACTGTATCCTACCACAGATGTCATTTGGTTTACTGTCTGGTGCCCAAGTTTCTCTTGGGCTGCTTGGTTTTTCTTACTGACTTATAGCATGTGAAAACATTTAATGTATAATGAACATATTAATGTGTAAAGATTTTTCCCTCCCTCAGGCCCAGTTTCCTTCTAACTCTCTTAGAGAGATCACATGTGATCCATTCTTTGATTTTTTTTTAAGCTCAAATAATAATATTAGGAATAGTATTTGGAATATCCATGTCATGCGTTTTTGCATTGAGTTTACTGAGATGTCTGGGAGACTGTGACTGCACCTAGACATGGCTATCCACTCAGAAAAAATAGATAATAGTCTTGAAGGAATGTGGAGAGCTTGCCCTCACCTTTTCATAATTCTGCCAGAATTTATGTGAGTCCCAGGTCCTCATCGCACTAGTGAGCGCTGAGTGCTCACGGGGGTGTGTGTAGGTGAGGATGTGGTTTGAATTCTATGTCCTCTTGCCCCACTCATGCCCTAGAAATCCTTGCCGCCCTGCGATTGGCCTACATAGGCTTGGGCTAGTCCCTGGAAGACTATCCAAAGGTTACTGGGTGCCCAACGACCTCAGACTCTCAGACCAGTGATCTGAAGATACTATCATGACTGTACAGTTAAGGGCCTCTTGTCTTTTTCTCCTTTTCCTAGCCGGCTTGGTGCAGACAAATTCCAGTCTAGAGAAGGTGAGTGACTTCCAGAGAGGGTGGGACAGGGTTCAAATTTGGAGTCTTGGGTCCTGCTCCAAGATCCCACCCTCGGCCCTCCTTGTAAGGCTCTGACTTCTGCTTCCTCCCTCTAAACCTTTCTTCTCTTCTCCTTGAATCTTCTTAACTTCTATGGTGTTCCTTGAGCTAAGTATGGGTAGGGACAAGAAAGCCTTTTTACTGTGGTCCTTTCTCCCCTTCTTCTCCAGGTAGAGGTTGCCTGGACATCCCTCCAGCCACCCATCAGTATGCATCAGAGCTGGGTCTGAGGCACGGGCTGTAGTGGGCATCACAGTGAGTGGGGTCAGGGTTTGGAGGAAAGTTTGAGTTGAGTCATCTCAGACACAGCTAAGCAGGAAACATATGAAAAGGTGGAAAAACGAATGTGGAAGTTTTAGGGATGGATAAAATCAGAGTTATCAGAGAAACATAAAACATATGGAAAAAACTAATTGGAGCCCAAAACAATTGGATCTGAAGTTAGAAATCTTGAATTCTGGCCTCAGTTCTATTTCCAATTCATGGCTTATTGATAAAATTTTAAAAGTTGCCTTATTGTTAAAAATGTGTGTATAGCAATGGCAGGGGCAGTTTAGGAAAGAACAACAATAAACTAGAAGACCCAGAAGCAAAAAGCAATCAAAAGTTAGGGGCAAGCAAACTCTCATTCACATAATGGGTTATCATTTTTGGCCTTAGACAAGTCACTTCACCTCCATTAGTCTCTGCTTTCTCACCATAAATGTGTGTATGAGAGGATCTATCCACTTGTTCACCCAGTTATGGGGTGGAGGGGTGAGCAAAAATTATCGTGCATATGATGTGGTCTACAAATGCAACTCTAGTAAGATCTTCCTTCCTCTTGATTAGATAACCTCTTAAGTGATTTCCCTTATTTTTGAAAGTTGATACAGTGTTTATGCTATCCCGTGCTGGCTACTTGGGTGTGGAGACCCTTGGCTGTAGAACTTGCTTAATAAAGGCCAAGTCTGGAGATATTTGAGACATATCATGCAGATCTAAATAAATGTGAAGTAAAAATGAATATCAGGAGTAAGCTGGACTGGACCTAGAGGAGTCTTCAAGATCAGAGTCTAAGGCCACGCATTCTGGTACCCAACATGATTTTCAGGAATTTTCATCACAGTAGCAAAGGCGAGAAAAAGGCAAATTCTTAAAAATGTTTAGCAGGGAACCAGGCATAATGGAGATAAGAATGGATACTCTGATATAATGTTCTGAGACATATATAAATGTCTCAGTTTTGCTGGTGTGTATTTGTGCGTGCATTTAGGGAAAGGTGGAAAAGCCTGCATAGAGAAAATGCCTCTCCCTAGGAGTAAAAGCTAAGTAGCTAAGTGTGCTAGGGATAGAATCAGTGGTAGTTTGGTTTGGTTTTGTGTTGGATCACTCCTTTAGGTGGGGCAGATGGTGTCTGACTAAAATCTTTTATAGTCCTTGCACTTCCAGGGAGTCTAGTTTAATCCTAGTTTAAGTCTGGACCTTCCTTATTAGATTATGTCCTTCCCTCCTTTCTCTGGTCAGTACCTCTCTGCCTTTTTCTGACTGGGTGGTTTGGATGTAAGCTTTCTTTTCATATTTTGGGATTTTACATTCCCTATATTCCAGAAGCCATTTATAGCAGCTTCCCTGATATAAGGAAGGAAATCAGGATGTGCTGGTGAGCCCTGTGGAGTCAACACATTTTGGGTACTGAATGGACCCTGCATGGATAAAGACAGAGGCGAGATAAGATGAGATCTGTCTGTAGAGGAATTTAACCTAAGGACAGGCAATGAAAGTCCATGCTGAACTTATTTCCATTATGTGGCACTTTGCTCGAATATGTTCCATAGATTGGATAAGGATTAAGGTAGATGGAGCTGGTGGAGAAGGTAGGTATTAGATAGCTAGAGTACGATGGGTAAGGAGTTGGGCATGTGATAAGTTGGATGCTGCCAGACACAGTTCAGTGACCTGCTTACAGATGGATTTTTGAGCTCTCCATCTCTTTTCCTGGCAGCTACAAAAAGTTAGAATTTCATAGTATTGGCTTACAAGACCATCATATGAGTAAGAGTGCATTGAAAGAGAAAACTACTCAAGGTAGGAGTAATATTAGATTCTAGAATGCTAAACCTAGAAGCCTTTCAGGATCTAATAGGAATCTAGACAAATGTCTTCATTTTTACCAGTGGGGAAACTGAGGGCCAAGGATGAGAACTTCCCAGGATCACAAGGAACTCTTAACAATAGACCAAGCTTCTGATTCCCAGGTAGAGCTCTTTCCACTCCACCATGCTGATGAGTGGGGCAGGAAGTCAGAAGACCTAGGGAAAGTTAAAGAAGTAATAAGGCTATCCTGAAATACTTGGGCAATTAAAAACCTTCCCTTCACAGAGGGAATCCAATGCCTTCAACCCAGAGACAAGGGGTAGCTTCATTTTCAGAGAAGCAAGAAAGGCAGTGTGCTTTTCAGTTTGACTTCACTTACTTCCAGGCCATCCCATTCCAGCTCATGAATCTCTGCTTTTTTCCATTCATCCAAGCAGTTCCTGGTATTTTACCTCTGCAAAGATAATAAAGAGACTTGACTGCCTGTTCCTCAAAAAAACCTTTGCCTTTCAAGTCACAAGACCTAGTTTCAATCTTGTCATTGACACATTAGATGACTTGTATTTGTTTTCTGGATCTCAGTTAATATATGTATTGTTCTTTGAATGGTTTGAAAGATTATACCGACATTAGGAATTATTATTACTAAAATTATGATTTTTTTAAATCTTCCAGATGGATTGCTACAAAGATGTGAAAGGCACCATCTATGATTATGACGCTTTCACTCTTAATGGAAAGGAACACATTCAGTTCAAGCAGTATGCGGGCAAGCATGTCCTTTTTGTCAATGTGGCCACCTATTGTGGTCTGACAGCTCAATATCCTGGTAAGAGTTCATAGACAAATCTCCTTGGGACTAATTTTCCAGCTTGTTATATTTTAAGTCATATTGGTATTATATTCTAATTTTAATTCTATATATCAAAATAAATACTCATGATCAAGGGACTTCATTCCCTAATGTCAGGAGTCAGCAAACTATGGTACACAGGGCAAATACAATCAGCCTAATTTTGTAAATAAAGTTTTATTGAACACAGCCATGACCATTCATTTGCAGATTGTCTATGGTTGATATTATGCTGCAAGACAGAGTTGAGTAGTATGAGTGTTGGTGCCAGAGGCCATCTGAAATGACTAATCTGAACCTTCACAAAAAACGTTTGCTGACCGCTTCCTATGTCCTGCCTCTGCTTTGCTCCTGAGATTTCCAGGAGAACCAATAATATATTTGAGAGCTAGCAGCCTCTCTGAAGATTCAAGTCTTCTTGACAAATACAGGAGGTAGGATTGATGTTTTTGAGACTTTTCCAGGAACTTACAAAGACAGGGGAAAGAAAAAGGGGCTTTATACCTGGAGCCATTTGACTGGAGTGAGGGCTGGAGAGGAGACCATAAGAGACGTGAACGCTTGCTCTCCAACCTCAATGCCTCCTTCAGGTGTAGATTTTTCCCCTCTCTGTGATTATTCAGGGTGGAATGTTATCTTTCTCATATGTTAGGCCATATTGATTAAAAGCCAATAAATAATGAACAGGACTAATTTTTATCAGATGCCTTTCTTATATTTGAACTAATAAGAACTTCATTTTTAAGTTTTTCATTATTATATTTTGAATAGGTACTGAACTGAATTGAGCTATATTCACAAGGCTCAAAATTAAAGGAATAAAAAAGTTTAGAGTAAAAAGCCTTTTCATTTCTTTCCCTTCCCTTCTGATGACCAGTATTATCATGTTTACAAAATACATATGTATTCTTTTTTTTTTACTTTTCTACCAATTGATGACATGTAATAAATGATGATGATGATGATAGTCACTCAGTCATGTCCAGTTCTTTTTGACTCATGGACTGTACCTGCCAGGCTCCCCTGTCCATGGGAGTCTCCAGGCAAGAATAATGGAGTGGGTTGCCATTTACTTCTCCAAACAAGTAATAAATACAACCTGCCAATTTGCTTTTTAAAATTAATAAGATACCTTGGAATTCGGATCATTTCCTCCCTCTGTTCTAAGATTGAATAATATTCTATAGGACCATACTTCATTTTGCCAGTTTATAGGGATTTTAAAAATCAGTTTATTCAGTTCCAACGCTGTATGTAATAGGTGCGAGAACTGGGGAATAGTTTCTCAAGAACTGGAAGACAGGTTTCCTAATTAATAGTCTGTTTCTTAGAGGAGTTATTATCTATAGTGACTAAAGACAAGAAGAGAGGATGTGGGGAAAAGTACTTAGGAACCATGTGGAAATAGGAAAGCAATCTTATATTGCAGAAAATAAAAATAAAAGGACTCAGAGGAGATATCCGCTGAACTGTTGCCTGAGCAGACTGTTCAGTTAGGGAATGATTAGTGTTTGTAATGGAACTGAAGATGTCTGGCTCAAAAAGGGAGAAAATGAAGATGATTATAAAAGTCTGGGGAAACAAACTGAAAAACTTGGGGAAGGCAATTGGAAGCTTGTGTTGTGGTATATCAGTGAGGCTCTTTAGGTAGAATGCATCTTTAACATCCTAAAGGTTGTTAAAGAACACCAAAAAGCTCAACTTGAAATTTCTCTGGTTCTTTTTGCCCCCGTCAGATTTACCCCCCACTCCACCCAGGGTGAACTAACCTGTGAAGAGAAGTCCATTCTTATTGTGCATGTCTTTTCCTTTAAGGAGAAAAAAAAAAAAAAAGATTTAATCTACCAATTAACCAATCAGGGAAGGCAAACTGATGGTCAGTGATGTTTAAATGTGGTTTTGTTTAAAATTAAAATTAAATAAAATTAAAATTTTCATTTTTAAATTGTGGTACAAGAAGACCAAATATAAAATTTACCATCTTAACCATTTTTAAGAAGACTGTTCAGCAGTGTTAAAAATATTCATTGTTGTGAAACAAATCTCTAGAACTTTTCTATCTTGCAAAACTGAAACTGTATTCATTAAATAACAGCTCCCCTTTCTCCTTTCCCCCAGCCCCTGGTAACCACTATTCTACCTTCTGTTTCTATAAATTTGACTACTGTAGATACCACATGTATCTACATGTATCTTACCTGCAGTATTTGTCTTTTCATGACTAGATTATTTCACTTAGCATAAAGATTCATTCATGTTGTAGCATGTGACATAATTTCCTTCCATTTTAAAACTGAATAATATTCCATTGTATATGGATAGACCACATTTTGTTTATGCATTCATCTATCAATGGACATTTGGGTTGCTTCCACCTCTTGATTTTTATGTATAGTGCTCCTATGAACATGGGTGTGCAAATATCTCTTTGAAACTCTGTTTTCAATTCTTATTCATGTATGCCCAGAATTGGGACTGCTGCTTTATGGTAGTTCTATTTTTAATTGTTTAAGAAACCTCCATGTTATTTTCCATAACAGTTATACCAGTTTACAATCCCACCAGCAGTGATCTGGTGAGCTTTAGAATAATAAAGATGACTGGGGAGACACCTCAGAATAATGTAACCAGAAGAATTTCTGGAAAGGAATCTGGGCATCCCTATTTTTAAGGAAAGGCCCCTGCCTGATTCTGATGTGCTGCAGACTTGGGAAATACTGCATTATAACAAAGGGCTTTTGCATACATGTCTGGAGATCTAGTATCTCATTTCAACCCTGCCATGAACAGTCTTTCTGACTTAGATATTTTCCCCCTTTTCCTGGACTTCTGTTTTTCCCTCTGTAAAATGGGTATTTCCAAGGATCACTCTGTCTATATACACAAGGCAGGCTCTCTGGCCAGGCCACCATATTGTCCAATTTCTACCCATAGAATTGAATGCACTACAGGAGGAGCTGAAGCCCTTTGGCCTAGTTGTGTTGGGATTTCCCTGTAACCAATTCGGAAAGCAAGAACCAGGAGAAAACTCAGAAATTCTTCCAGGACTGAAGTAAGTGCCTACTTAAAACCCTACAGAGATCTGTCTCTGTCTACCTTTCCTCCATTTCCAGAGGCACTTCCCTTTGGGGAATTCCAGGATGGGCGGTGGGTTAATAGGCTTGGGGCACTTCCTACCTGATTTTAACCTTTCCTCCACTGACGTGAGGCTGGCAGTGTCAGAGCTGCTCTCCCCTTCTCTGGGAAGTGAGACCTGGATGGATGGTGGAGGAGTGGGAGCACAGAAATGGCTCCTGGTGTTGCTGGTACAGAAACAATACAGATGGGAGACAGTGACAGCATGTGGAATAGAGAAAAATAAAGTGTCAGGGAGCCCAAAGTTTAACAATAGTCTTATTTTCCCTTCCCAGCCCTGTTTTCTATATCTCCACATCCGTTTCCCTTTTTTCATAACCTCAAATCCTGGTACCCTATTATAATTTTCTCTCTTATATTCTGGAGCTTCCTGGGAACACTATGGTTCATTGCAGGTATGTCCGTCCAGGAGGAGGATACGTACCTAATTTCCAGCTGTTTGAGAAAGGGGATGTGAATGGTGAAACAGAGCAGAAAGTCTTCACCTTCTTAAAGGTGAGTTAAATTACTGGCCTAAGCTTTTTCTTCCTTAATATTCCTAACGTAGAGTTGGTATGGTAGAAATGGATGTAAGCGCTCCTGCCTGGAGGAGGGGTTGGACTCTTTGGAAGAGATCTCCTTATAAGCATAGGGACTAGGGTTAATTTTTTTAGTATCTGTGATGCTCTGGCTTCGTGGTACAAAGCATTGTGTAGAGTGCCACCTTTCACTGGGACCACTCTTTTGTTCATTGACATTCATTCATTCAAGGGACATTTGTTGAGTGCCTGCTATCTATAAGGCAGTTTGCTAAACAATAAGGGTATAGAAATGAACAGACGCAGTCCCTGTTCCTTGATGAGTTCATACTGGAGAAGACACACACACACACACACACACACACACACACACACACGGCAGATTGCATAATACAATGCAATAAGTGCCTTTTATGAAACACTGGCTCTTAGATACAGAGAACGTGAGAGCTAAAAAGGGCCCTTAAAGATCATTAGAGTTCAGTGTTCTTAAATGCTGGACTGTGGGCCAAGGTTGACCCATGCTGAGATTTTTGTATATACTCAGTAAACTGAAAAAACAGGGCAATGTAAGGAGGGTTTCATAAACATCAACTGATTTATAGAGCTGCCCTTTATTCTAAGATTAGGACACATGTGTAATTTATTCTTATAATTATCTCTTTAAAACTAAATGAAGTAATGGTGTTTTTAAATTTTTCTCTTATTTGTCAAAACAAATATTGGAACTCCATATTGGCCTCAAAAGGTATTTTCAAAAGATGACTGGCCCATGAAGCATCAAGATCTAGGAAACCACATTCTAATCTATTCTCTTTGCAGAAAAGGAAATTGAAAGCTAGAGAGGTGACATATCTCATTCATAGGAACAGGATTTTGTGATGGGGTCACAGGGAGAAACAGAAAGAGGGAATAGATTTTTGCTATAATATCTAAAACTTTTTGGTAGTTAGCATGGTTGTGATTCAGAGAATATATTAAGAATCATAGGAAATGAAAATATCTCAACATAAGAGGAAGTGGATTATCTGTGGGTGAAAATAGCCTGGATCATCCATGAGCAGAAATGATTCCGTCATTTCTCTTTTCCATCTCTCTGCTGCAGCAATCCTGTCCCCACCCTTCTGAGATTATGGGCTCAATCAAACATATATCCTGGGAACCCATCATGGTCCGTGACATCCGCTGGAATTTTGAGAAGTTCCTAGTGGGACCTGATGGCGTCCCTGTCATGCGCTGGTTTCATCGGACTCCAGTCAGTACAGTCAAGGCAGATATTCTGGCATACATGAAACAGTTCAAAACCAAATAAGATCAAGTTGGGGGCAGGAGCCATCCTGCTTCTTTACCTGAAGACCTGTTTTTCGGGTGGAGAGGGAGGTGGGAGGGGGGACTGGGATGGGGAATACATGTAAATCCATGGCTAATTCATATCAATGTATAACAAAAACTACTGTAATGATGTAAAGTAATTAGCCTCCAACTAATAAAAATTAAAAAAAAAATCTTTTCTCTACATTCTCTTTCTAAATGCCCTCCACTTGACTAAATCACCTCTATAGTGCCAAAATTCCCACTCTCTATCAAGTAGATTTATGTTCAGAAGGCTACTACTATTTCTCCCTGCAGGAGTATGTGGGTAAGAGAAAAGAATGGAAACCCTAAACCCTCAGCTATCTGTTACAAGTTTAATAAAGCATATATATATATATCTATACATATAGATATATATAGATATAGATATAGATATAGATATATAGATATATAGATATATCTCCCTAGAGGAGGGCATGGCAACCCACTCCAGTATTCTTACCTGGAGAATCCCCATGGATAGAGGAGCCTGGCAGGCTGAAGTCTATGGAGTCACAAAGAGTCAGATATGACTGAGCGACTAAGCACAGTATGTATGTGTAGATATCTACACATATTTATATATATCAAAGGAAAACCATTCATCCATGAGGACAGGCCAATTTGCCATGATATCCTGAAAAAGAATGTTCCTACACATTCTGAGTCTTCCTTCCCTCTCTACCCTAAATGTGTAGAATTGACAATGTGGTGAATAGCCATACAATTTAAGTTCTACTTCATAACATTTGTCTTCCCCTAGAAGAAACATGTGAAGTCAATTTCCAAATATTTTCAGATGAGTCTTTTTCCATGACACCCCACCCATCCCTGCCTCCACTGATCTGTCACTCTTGTAGGAGCCCTAGATAGAGTGGGAGCAAGAAATCACCTCACATGAAGGAAAGAGTATCTCCATGATGGTGGCAGACAGAGCCTCTTTCTAATTCGGACCCTACAAAAACTTTCCTCTGTCTGATCTTTAGTGTATTCAGATTATGACACTTGGGCAGAGCATCCTTCGAAAGATAGGCTTTCCCTTCTCAACCCTAGAACCCTTAGCTTCAGAACCAGCCCTGCAACTATCTCCAATAAAATGTTTCCTACAGCATCTGGAATCACTGTGATGGTTTTCAAATCCTATCTGGAGCTCAAACTCATTTTATCTCTCTCTTCTTCCTCACTGTGACTGTCACAGATGGTGTATTGACTAAATACCTGGACCCTTTGGATTGAAGATTTACCTTCCTAGATCCTTGGAAGGTTGTTACCTGATGACTCTCAACTGTCATCCTTCTTTAGGAATTGTCTCAGGTCAAGGTCACATTTCATTTCCAAGGGCAGCCTATATCCAATTACTGGTCTATGAGAGGTATAACAGCCAAGATCTGACTTCTCAACTTGGGACGTTATCTAAAGGGCCCATTCCAGTGGTGGAGCGCCCCCCCCCGCCGCCCCAGGAGCAGTCAAATGCCCTTTTGCACTTGCACTGCAGCTCAGTTTTTTCCTCTGACAAATTTTGATTCTTCATTGCTTCTCAGGTGGTCACCCTGAGATAGTGCCCCTGTAAAGTTTCTGAATGCAAATCCCCATCTTGGAGTCTTTCCAGGGAACACAAAATGCAGTAGTTGATACCAAAAGTATCTGAGAAAGAAAATGCTAAGATGGGTTTTTTTTTTGGGGGGGGGGCACCCATGCAGCAAGTGGGGATATTAATTCCCTGACCAGGGATGGAACTCATGCCCTTGAAGTGGAAGTGCAGTGTCTTAACCACTGAACTGCCAGGGAAGTCCCTAAAATGAGATTTTTGAAGCTGGATTATCCATCTGGTTGGCAGTAAAGGGATTGGTAGAACACAAACAGCCACTGGCACAAAGTAGCAATTTTTAAAACTTTTACCCAACCTGAACTGAGATGCTCTACCGGTGGATATGCAAAAGCAGATGTGATGTATCAGATGCTTGATAAATGTGGGAGAGATGGTAATAATAATGTAATAGAATTCTTCAGTAGAAGAAACTGATGCCTTGGAGAGAGATGATTAAATGCTGAAGATGATATCTCATCAAATAAAGTGAAAGTCACTCAGTTATGTCCAATTCTTTGGGACCCAGGCCAGAATGCTGGAGTGCGTAACCTTTTCCTTCTCCAGGGGAATCTTCCCAACCCAGGGATTGAACCCAGGTCTCCCACAATGCAGGAAGATTCTTTTACTAGCTGAGTCACAAAGGAAGCCCATCAAGTTGAGGCTAATGTGAAAGCCAGAGTCTCCATAGGAGGGTATAAAGAAACTCTCATATCCTGCAACTCAAGGGCACAAAAAACTAAGGTTCAGTTCCAAGATTTAATCACAGGAATAGTAGGACTCCAAAGTAGGTTAAATTCTCAAACTAGATTATCTTCTATGCCTAGGTCATGGCCTCAATTGGAAAAGAACAGAATATTGAGACATTGGATGGAGACATCTGGTGGGATGCATTGTTGTTGCTGTTGAGTCGCTAAGTCATGTTCAACTCTTTGTGACCCCATGGACTGTAGCCTGCCAGGCTCCTCGGTCTATGGGACTTCCCAGACAGTGTCTTAACCACTGAACTGCCAGGGAAGTCCCTAAAATGAGATTTTTGAAGCTGGATTATCCATCTGGTTGGCAGTAAAGGGATTGGTAGAACACAAACAGCCACTGGCACAAAGTAGCAATTTTTAAAACTTTTACCCAACCTGAACTGAGATGCTCTACCGGTGGATATGCAAAAGCAGATGTGATGTATCAGATGCTTGATAAATGTGGGAGAGATGGTAATAATAATGTAATAGAATTCTTCAGTAGAAGAAACTGATGCCTTGGAGAGAGATGATTAAATGCTGAAGATGATATCTCATCAAATAAAGTGAAAGTCACTCAGTTGTGTCCAATTCTTTGGGACCCAGGCCAGAATGCTGGAGTGCGTAGCCTTTTCCTTCTCCAGGGGAATCTTCCCAACCCAGGGATTGAACCCAGGTCTCCCACATTGCAGGCAGATTCTTTTACTAGCTGAGTCACAAAGGAAGCCCATCAAGTTGAGGCTAATGTGAAAGCCAGAGTCTCCATAGGAGGGTATAAAGAAACTCTTATATCCTGCAACTCAAGGGCACAAAAAGCTAAGGTTCAGCTCCAAGATTTAATCACAGGAATAGTAGGACTCCAAAGTAGGTTAAATTCTCAAACTAGATTATCTTCTATGCCTAGGTCATGGTCTCAATTGGAAAAGAACAGAATATTGAGACATTGGATGGAGACATCTGGTGGGATGCATTGTTGTTGCTGTTGAGTCGCTAAGTCATGTTCAACTCTTTGTGACCCCATGGACTGTAGCCTGCCAGGCTCCTCGGTCTATGGGACTTCCCAGGCAAGAATACTTGAGTGGGCTGCCATTTCTTTCTCCAGGGGATGCATTAGAACAACGAAATCTCCAGATTTCCCAAGATCCTTTGAGCTTTTTAGAAGTAGCCCAATCTTCCTTATCAAGGGTTAGTTAGTCCTTCTTCCTTGAAGACAATGCAGAGATCTCTCTTCTGCCAAACATGTACCTCTGCCACCCATTCAGCATCCTTCCATACAGAACTAAATTCTAAGTGTTCTGGATCAAGGAGAGTAGAATGTAAAGTTAGTTGATGTAGAATACACTGATACTAGAGCATTCTCCTAAAGTACAGAATTTTTATACGCTGGCAAGAACTCAACGTACTGTTAGGATTCTCCTGCTTAAAAAAGCAAAAGCTCTCACTAAATACGGTAAGAATGCCAGGACTCTTGAGATTGATGGCAGAAAGAGGGATCAAAAAATCAAAGAAGTGGGCATGCTAGAGTGGATTTACCATGTAATACTAGAAAACCCACTAGAGGAATGGGTAACAGGAGAGCCAAAGGATATTCTGTTTGGGGGTGGGAGAAGGCATGAACCGGGAGAGAGACACTACCATTACTAAGAAGTTCCATGGTGAGTGTCCTCTATTGGCCCTGCGCTGGTGATACGAGATTCTGCTACAGAAGTGGCTTCACTGACAGCAATGGGAATTATAGGATCTTGAAACAACTCATGCCAGAAATAGCAGCACTCAATTGGTCAGAATCTGGTCAGTCTGTGCATGTGCATGCACCAGGTGTGGGTGGGCAAAGTTACTGTAATGAAAGACAATTTCAGAGAGGCAGCCAACTTTGTAGTGTTAAGATGGTTAATAAAATATAGCATCCCTAGAAACAAAATAGCTGGGCAGCCAACAAGCATATCGCTGTCTACACAGAAGAAATCAAGGATAATCAGAAGACTGAGGGTAGCTGCCCCAGTTAAAAATAAAATCACAATACCTTGCCCAGTTTCTGATCTTAAACCAGTTTTCAGATCTGACCTCTTGGATTAAAGAAGAAGCCAAGTCCTGAGGACCCTGCAGTGCCACTGAAAATATCTAGAATATAATTCCTCCATTTCTTTCCTAAATGGACTTATATCCATTTACTCAACAATCATAGACTCAATAAAGAGAAAAACCCTCAAATTTCAAGGACTGTTGGAAACAAGGTCCAAGTGAAGATTGATATGGAAAGACCCAAAGTGTCATCACAGCCCCTCAGTTAAAATGGAGGTAATGGGGGTCTGGTTCACACTGTGTCCACTCAGGCCATGGATCCATCTGGTGGAAGTTTCTTTTGTCCCAAAATGTATAACTAAAATGAAAAAAGCTTGAAATGAACCACAAATATAAACAATATATTTCTCTGAGTATGAGACTTTAGAAAATTTTCAAGTTACCACCTTTTTGTTTTTCTGCATTTCCTTAGTCTGTATTGCATTTAATATAGTTGATTTAAACTTAGTACATTTAAAACAGTGCTTTTTCTAAAGGAAATATTAGCTCTGTGAATGTTTCAGGATAGCAAAGTATTTTAACATTCTTAAGTTAAAAAACAGTGACTGGGTCGGGGTGGGACAGGTGGCATCTGAAGGAGAGGGAAAGTCGGCCGAGCGTAGGGCA